AAAAAAAAGGAAGTAGTCCTCTCTTATTTTTTATTTTTTATTTGTTGATTAGGGCCAGGAGGAAACTATTGTTGGGTTGGTTCCCTACCTGCATTTTCCCTCCCACCCACCCCTTTGCATGCATTTCCGGGTTGGTACAGTGCCACGTCAGCAGTGCCACGACAGCAGTGCCACGACAGCAGTGCCACGTCAGCCAGAGTGCCACGTCAGCAGTGCCATGTCAGCAGTGCCACATCAGCAACAGTGCCATGTCAGCAGTGCCACGTCAGCCACAGTGCCACGTCAGCAGTGCCACGTCAGACACGGTGCCACGTCAGCAGTGCCACGTCAACAATAGTGCCACGTCAGCAGTGCCACGTCAGCAGTGCCACGTCAGCCACACTGCCACGTCAACAGTGCCCCGCCACCATGACTGGCTCAGTTCTGGGCATGCCAGGCCAACTGGCAAATGAGTCAATTGCCGAGTACCGACAACGTTTCGAAACTCAGCTCGCACTAATCGCGGCTGAGGAACAGCGCCAGCTGGCAGCCGAGGCTCTCCGCCTACAGGCTGAAGTAGCGGCAATAGCTGAGAAGCAGTGGCTTCAGGCCGAGGCTGAAGCAGATACCCAGGCATGCCGCAAGAAGGCCCAGGATCTGCTACAGCGGCATGAAGCCTCCAGCATCGAAAGGCTCAAGTATTGGCACTTTGAACCATCCGAGGATCACGACGACGCGACACCGGAGGAACAACACAGGGAATTCATGGCCAAACTCGTGACTCGGTTGGCGTACACTTGTAACCACCTGCAGTCCGAACTGGCGAATATGCAGCGGGCCATGCGGAACCACAAGGCTCAGCAAGAGGATGCAGCACAGGCACTTGACTCCCGCGTACAGGACTTGGAGCAAGCTGCACCAAGACCGGAGGCTGGCGAGTCCAGCAGTGCACCCTCTGCCCGCCAACTGGAGCAACGAGTCGACCACGTCGTCACAATGCTCGGCGACATCAGCACCTTCGCTGCGCCAACCACCATCAACAAACAGTTGGATACCTTGAAGACCGAGGTTCAACAACTGCAACTGCCTAACAAGGATGGCAACAACACAACGCATTATAAGATGCCGACATTCCAAATTGAGAAGTTCGATGACTACATGCATCAAGACTCGGTCCTCTTGTGGGAAGGTTTTACGACGCAACTTCGGATTCTGTTCGTCGCCAAGCACTCATACATCGGCGCCCTGTTTCTCAGCTCAAAGGGTGGATGCCAGATCTGGTTAAGTCACCTGGCATCCATCCACGGCGTCGACGTCGCAGATCTGAAAGATAAGATTTCATGGCAAGAGCTAACACGGCTATGGAAGAAGCGGTTCATCGTGGACGACGACCCGATGCTCGCCATCAACCGCCTCTTCGCTATGACGCAAGGAAACACAACGATACGTCAGAAGATCGCAGCATCTCCCGATCTCGACTTGCCATTTTCGCATCTGCGCCGCGAGTTCTACAACAGGTCATGTGTTGCATTGAGCCTTGCACTTGGTGATCGTGAGCAATATGCAACCTTCGCTAAAATCATTGACAAGGCAAGGGAGATCATCAAGACCAACAGGGCGGCTGCACACGAGAAGTCAACGTGGCAGCTAACCTATGTGGAGAAGGTGAAAACTGGTCCGCGTTCTCAGCATGTCGCTGCAGTCCATTCGGACAACATTGTGGAAGACCCGGGAGCCACCCAAGCGTCACGTGAGGGAGATCAGGTGGTTGTTGTCCTGCCGCGAAACAACAACAAGTCCCGAGGAAACGGGAAGACGAAAACCACATCGCCGGCCGGAAACGCACAGCCAGCACCATGGGTCAAGTTTCACTTGACCGAGGCCGAGTACAAATACCACGACCGCTACAGCTGCTGCTATTGGTGCAAAAGCACCAAGCACAAGACCTCCCAATGCCCTGATTAAGGCAAGGAGGATGTTCGGCCTCGTATTAACTCGGGAAACTGAGTCGCGCAAGAGGTGAGGCGACTCCACCTCTCACTCCGCCAGATTCGGCCGCCTTGCTAGCGGCCTCCTACACATCTGGGGAGGATGCGCATGTCGCAAGCCCTCGGTACACGTACGAGGACTATGCTGTCCACTTGGTTCCACCGTTGGACCAACCGCTCCACGTGCAACAATCAACCGCATGCACGGTTTCATCACCATCAGCAACCGATTCGGCAGCTTCGCCGTCATCTACCGCCGGGGATTCAACGTCATGGTCAAGACTTGAAGAGCTCTACCCGTTGACATTTGCGGACTTCCAATGGATGCCCCTTCCCCGGTCCGATCGATTGCCGAAACCACATTGCAACGTGCTCATGGCACAATTGCGGGATTACTTGCACACTGCAGTACCAGCTCCGTGAATGGACGCCGGAGTAGAGGTTGTCGACCTTCACGCCTACATTGCGAAGATCGACCACGAGTTCAAAACACAACGGTACGAAGACATCCACGTACCATTGTTATATATACGCATTCAGATCTGAGAGGCGACCTGCAGCGCTTTGATCGATTGCGGAGCATCTCGCAACTACATGAGCCAGGACTTTATGGTACGCGCCGGCCTTGGCCCACGCGTCCGGAGGAAGTGCCAGCCGACGCAAGTCACGTTGGCAGACGGTCACACGCGCAAGTCAATAAACCGGTGCATTGATGGCGTCCCCATGTACTTTGCCCCGCATGCAAGCGAGGCGGTGTCCTTCGATATTTTGGACACCAAATTCGACATGATCTTGGGCATGTTATGGCTGCGAAGCGAGGATCACCCGGTGAACTTCTACCACCGCACCGTTCACATTCGTGATCGGAACGGGGTACTAGTCCCATGCACGGTGGTAGCTGCTCCTCACCCTTCGATCAGCTGTCACGCGGTGTCCGCCACAAGCATGCGAGCTTCCATCATCAGAGATAACATCGAGGAGATGGGGGTGTGTTTTCTCCACGCCCTCCCGCCCCATGACGCTTCATCGACGGACTCATCTTCGGACCCACGCATCACCGAGCTTCTCGTCGCCTACGGCGACGTATTCGTAGGCCAGTACGGAGTCGTACCGGATCGGCCCATAAGCCACAAGATCATCCTCGAGGACGGGGCTGTACCTCCATGTGGTTGCATCTACCGAATGAGCGAGGAAGAGTTAAGTGTGCTACGGGCACAACTCGATGACCTTCTGGAGAAAGGTTGGATTCGGCCTAGCTCATCACCATACGGTGCTCCCGTTCTCTTCGTCCGGAAGAAGAACAAGGATTTGTGGTTGTGCATCGATTATCGCAAGCTCGACGCGCAAACGATCAGAAACGCCGGCCCTCTTCCACGCATCGACAACCTTCTCGAACGGCTGGGCGGCGCCAAGTTCTTCTCCAAGCTGGACCTCAAGTCGGGATATCACCAACTCGAGATTCGGAAGGAGGACCGCTACAAGACCGCGTTTAAGACGCGATATGGGCATTTTGAATGGCTGGTTATGCCATTTGGCCTTACGAATGCCCCAACCACTTTCCAAGCGGCTATGACAACGGAGTTCCGACACATGGTGGATTGATTCGTACTTATCTACCTCGACGACATCCAGGTGTAAAGTCGGAGTTTGGACGAGCATGTGGAACACCTGCGCACCGTCTTGGAGCGACTACGACAAGCCAAGTACAAAGCCAACCGCGACAAGTGCGAATTCGCGCGGCAGGAGCTGGAGTACTTGGGACATTATGTGACGCCGCAAGGCATCCGTCCACTTGCGGACAAGATCGAGGCCCTCCGCGTATGGCCCGAGCCCACCAACACCATGGACGTTCGTTCATTCATGAGGTTGGCAGGCTACTATCAGCGATTCATCACCGGATACTCAAGGATTGCCGCACCTATGACGAGATTACAATCGCCAAAAGTGCCATTCGTATTCGATGACGACGCACGCCGGTCATTCCAAGCACTTAAGACGGCTATGCTCATGGCACCCGTCCTTAGCATCTATGACCCCACCCCACCTACGAGAGTGACAACTGACGCTTCCGGCTATGGCATTGGGGCAGTCTTGGAACAACACGACGCCGACGATTGGCACCCTGTGGAGTATTTCAGCCACAAAGTGTCACCCATCAATTCACTTGATGATGCAAGGAAGAAGGAGCTTCTCGCATTGGTGATGGCTCTCAAGCGATGGCAACACTTCCTCCTTGGGTGGCGTAGGTTCACATGGGTTACGGACAACAACCCCTTGACTTACTACAAGACGCAGGATACGGCGTGCAGCACGATCGGACGATGGATGTACTTCATCGACCAATTTGACTTTACACCGAAACATCTCCCCGGCCTCTCCAATCGCGCAGTAGATGCACTCTCGCAAAGACCTGATCTTTGTGCTATGACACATCATGCCTTCGCATTCGACGAGGAACTTCAGCGACACTTCATCCGGGGCTACGAGTCGGATCCGGACTTCGCCACGTTGTATGTGCAGTTATCTTCGGATCACCCGCCGACCAGCCACTATCGCATTGTCGACGGGTACTTGCTCCTCCACTCGAGAGGCAAGGACTTACTATGTGTCCCACGAGACCGTTGTCTTCGGACTCGCCTTCTCGGCGAGTATCATGATTCGCGACTCGCCGGCCATTTGGGAGTCAACCGCACCATTGCACGGCTTCGACAACGATTGCGATGACCCGACCTCATTACCGATGTCACTCGGTATTGCGATTCTTGTAAAGTTTGTCAACAAAGCAAGCCCCGCAATCGCAATCCCTATGAAAAGTTACGCCCGATACCTATCCCACGGGAACCCGGCCTCTCCATTGCCATGCATGTCACCGGACCATTTTCCCGCGATCGCCTCGGGCACGACGACATCCTCACGGTTGTGGACCGTTTGAGTAAGTATGCGCACTTTCTCCCTTGCAAGTACTTCTCCACGGGTCCCGAGCTGGCACGACTCTTGCACACCAGCTGGATTTGCGGCCACAGTGAACCGGAAGACATAATCAGCGACCGCAACACTCACTTCATGTTGGCATTTTGGACTGCTCTCATACAGGAGTCCGGCACGAAGATGAAACCAAGTTCGGCTCAACATCCACAGACGGACGGGCAAACGGAGCAGGCACATCAAATCGCTCAAATGATGCTTCGTACACTCATCAGTCCGGACCAGAAAGATTGGGTTGACCGCCTCCCCGACATCGAGTTCGCCTACAACACTTCGGTGCACCCGACGATCGGCGTGACTCCATTCGAGTTGCACCACGGTGGACAGAAATGCCGTATCTTCACCGACCTTCTCCTCCCATGACCAGCCGACATCGACGCCGCTTGCTCTCCCACTTCCGTCCGGAAGTACAGGGAATTGCTGGCTCAAGCCCGCGCAAATATGCAAAAGGCTAAAGTCTGCATGCAGTTGCAAGCCAACAGGCGTCGCGTGCCATGTCCCATCCGTGCCAGTGATCTGGTTTGGGTCTTCGCGGAAGAGTTTGCACTGGAACAGGATATTTCACGCAAACTGCTTCCCAAGTGGTTTGGACCATGGCCCGTAATATCAGCCGCCGGAGATGAGCCCGATGACCCTTCATTTGCGATCAACATTCCGGCGCATCTGACGGTCCATCCAGTCTTTAACGCCTCGAAGCAGGCAACATATACACCAGCTAAGAGCGACGACTTACCGGGCTGACGATCACAGGACCCTCCATCTATGGATGGTCATCAGGAAGTTGACCGCGTCATCACTGATCGCAAGTATGACAGCAATCCTCGCTAGTATAAGGTTACATTCAGAGCATGCGATCCCGACGACACTCGGTGGATTTCAGGAACATATTTGAAAGCATCCGCACCACTGATCTACACTCACTACGAACGACAAAGGTTAGCGCAGGGAACTTCACGACCTTCCCCTCCCACCTGGACTGTGGTCCCTCCCTCAGACAGACAGCTTCGCCCTCGCAGGTAGGCTCGGTCTTTCAAGGAGGGGGGGGGGGTGGCATACTGCGTAGCCACACGGGCCTGCAGGGCCCGTCTCGCATTCTCAGCCTGAAAGCCTAGAAATAAGGGCTTAAAGGCCCCTGTCGTTTCAGCTTGAAAGACGTAAAAACGAGGGTCTGCAGGCCCTATGTCGTTTCAGCCTAATACAGGGTTTTTCAGCCCTCAGGCTTTTCAGCTTGAAACGGAGGGCCACTTTCGGACCCTCATAAGATAGACCTACCCTAACACTCAAGCACAAAACCAGGGTTTCGGGAGCAGGCTATCTTCCCACGACAGCCTCAAGCAGGAGCTGCAACGGCAGCCCCTGACTCCCTGCGGCATTGGCAAGAGAAGCCTCCTGGACTGCCTCGCCCTGCAGTCAAGAGGCAGGCCGTGTAGTACATAGGGAGTCCCATGCACTTTACGGGTAGGTAGTTGGACAATAGGCAAGAGTAGTCTTCAGGATTCGGCCGCAGCACTCAGGAGAAGCACTGCAGAGTAGCTTAGCGCTAGCAGTAATCTTCAGCGTTGGGCGCTAGTAGCCATAAAAGTAGTCTTCGGCGCTGGGCGCTAGTAGGTGGTAGTAGTAGGGTTGGGAGAGATGACTGGCGGAGGCCAGTGGGACTTACCTATAGCGCCATAGCTCCAGCTCCATCTTCGTGGTACCTGCATCAAGGCGCCAACTTCACAGGTTCGTACCGGACTGAGAGAGAGAGAGAGAGAGAGAGAGAGAGAGAGAGAGAGAGAGAGAGAGAGAGAGAGAGAG